TGGACTTGTGTGCACTTGGGTGTTTATAGGCAAGTTAAGTTAGTGTCTAGACCAGGCTTTGTGCATCTCAGCATGTCCAAGTTGCCCTTTCACAGCTCTGTCTGGGCACCTCAGTCATCGTATGCAGTTACTGTCTGATTTTTATATCTTATGACCATAGTATATGATGTATCCATATAGTCTTAAATGGGATTGTGGAGCCAAATGGCCTCTTCGTAGCACAGGGTGGAAACAAAATTAGTTACTGGTGTCACCATATGGCTAAACATTCCTTAATGAGTAGTGGAACAAGACTACTATACTTCTCCTGACTGATCTAAGTCTAGCCTCCAGAGGTAAAGTATGTTTGCTACCCTACAGCTGCTATTCCAGATAGACTGTGCTTGCATGTCTCTGACTTCAAGGTACTGTCAATAGACTAAAGCAGGGGCAAAGGAAGACATGATTCTAATGCTTAATAAGAGCAAAATTTGCCCCTTAAATCCTAATGACCTGTCTTGGCTCTGATAGTTGGTGTTTGTGTTTTGTGAAGTTCTCTCCACATGTGTCTACATTTCAGTAGGACACTTGCAGCCGACTTGGGCTCAGTGGGCTATACGACTGCAGGATAGACATTTAGGCAGCCCTAGGCCGAGCCTGAATGTCGACACTGCAACTTCATAGCCTTGCAGCCTGAGCACTATGGGCCCATGTCAGTGGACACTGGCCAGCTGCGGAAGTCTTATTGCAGTGTAAACGTCCCCTCCCTGTCCACGAAAGATCCATGTATGCAATGCAGTGTGTGGCACTCTGGAGTTCATGAGAAATTCAGACAGGAAGAGCAAAATGGTGAGAGTCGAGCTCTGCCAAATGTTTCTGAGAGGAAAACTTTCCCTTACAACGGAATTCCTGTGAGAAGATAAACTTCATTGACAAATGGAGGTCATTGTCGGGTTCAGCTGTTAGGTAATTCCCCTGCATGCGTTCCCAAAGATGGTACTCTTATTTTGCTGTTACTACTTGACTCCTCTTTCCTTCTTGCTTGTTGAAGTGTGGTGGTGTTTCTGTGGTTGTAGGCTTCTCTTTAGATTATGTATTCTCTTTGATATGTGGAAAGTGGTTGACTTCTTCTGCTTATTTTTTTTCCTGCGAGTAGGACAAAACTATAATATATACCCATCAAACATTAATCAATATGAATAACAAGGGGGTTCATCAAGATTAATATTCTCATTACAAGTACTAACAACAGTGCTCATAGAAATATTCCATTGCAGACTAGACACTTGTACTATCTTGGCTTCATCTTTTGTAATTAGTTTTTTAATTAAATTTTTGTTAGGAAAATATCATTAATGGCTTGGCAAAGGGCAGTGTAGTGAGCAGGGGTGGCCGCTCACTGACCCCGAGGGAAAAGAATCCCTCTCTGATCCCGGGTGAGCCAAGCCAGGTCCCTGCTTCCTTTATCTCCCTGGAAGCTAAGGGGCAGGGCGGGTAGGATAAAAGCCCAGCCCAGAAGCTCAGTAAGACCCCAGCCACCTGAGGAAGCGGAGGCCTGCTCTGAGCTCCCAAGCTAGGAGGGCCCTGAGGACCTTGCAGAGGCCGAGGTCTGGCCCAGATCGCCGGGCCCCTGCTCGGAAGAAGAGACCTTCTTTACTCTGGCAGTCTGTGTGGGGCTGGGTAGATGCTGGGGGTGTCAGGAAGTGGCCCAGGGGAAGCTGACGACTGAGCTTATAGAACTTTAGCGTGTGTCAGTGTGTTGCAGGCTGGATCCCTGCTGACCCCAATGGCAGCCAGGGCTGTTCCTGCTAGGGCTGTGGGCCGGGACTTGGTGGAGTAGGGAGGGCCCGCACATACCAGGTGTCAGTCTTCTCCTCCCTTCTCTTGCCTGGGGAACTGCATTTGTGTTCCTGAACCAGGGCCTGGGCCTTACTGACTGTGGGACTTCATTTGTGTTGCTGTCCCGCCCTGAACCAGGGCCTGGGTTTACCAGTCGTTGAACTACTATTTGTTTGTCTTTGTTTGCCAGGTCCATCCTGCTGGCCAGGTATTTAATTTAAAGGGGTCTGCTATTTATTTATAGGCCGGAGCACAGGTCTGGGGCCCAGGACTACGCCAGTTGGCTTACAGGCAGAATATACTTTCTTCAGTCTTATTTGAATGGTTGTTAAATATTTGTTTTTTCTTATAAGTGTTTTGTTTAAATTTCATGTTAACAATCAAACTATTAAACATTCTGAAAAAATAACTTTCTCCTTTCTATTTGTCAGGTTTAATTTACATATCATATTCAGTTCTTCTCATCCAGAAAGTCTTTCCTTTCAGAAAAGTAGTCAAGACATGAAATTTTAATGCAAAAACACAAGAAGGGAAATAATAGGCTTAGTTTCATGCCACTTTGGGGGAGGGATAGCTCAGTGGTTTGAGCATTGGCCTGCTAAACCCAAGGTTGTGAGTTCAATCCTTGTGGAGGCCATTTGGGGCAAAAGTTTGTCAGGGATGATGGTACATGGTCCTGCTGTGAAGGCAGCAGACTGGACTTGATGACCTTTCAAGGTCCCTTCCAGTTCTAGGAGATTAATTAAAAAAGCACAAACTGATTCCTTCCCCTTTTCCTTTTTGCTAATCTCTGCAATATGCAATTTTTATGGAGGGATGATCCTTTTAACGGGAAGCTTACCCAACTAGTTTATAACATTCCTTAAGACAGTTGAATATGAAAGTGCAACATTGAAACACTTCAATCACAAGTAATCTTTGTTGAGAAAAGGAAATTATGTACAGGTTGGACCTCCCTAGTCTGGAACCTTTGGGACCTTAACTGTTCTGAGCCAGGGAGTTTGTCAGACCGGGGAGGTCCTAGACACTAGGCACCACACCGAGGCTCCCACTGGTCACTGGGCTCTGCTCCCTGTCGAGTGTGGCTTCTGGCCACCAGCTTGTCTGCAGCTGCCTGGGCCCCTGGCTGCCAGCTGTGTCTGCCCAGCCCTGGGCTCGCAGATGGTGGACTCCCATCCAGTCCCCACTCTTGGTTGCCAGGGCTCTCTGGTCCAGCAACAGGACCACAGATGATGTCGGACCAGAGTGTCCTGGATTTCATAGGTTCAACCTCTAGATATTTTTAATAGATACCACATTCATTGTAAGCCTATTATTCTGTCAGCTCTCCCTGAATCTCTTAAAGTGATTGCATTTTGTTAAGGAACAACTTGGAAGTGACTTGTAATGATTAATTCTGATTAAGAGCCATTTTAAGATGTTGTCTGCTGAAATTGATCTTTGATTTGAGATGAAAGCCAAAAATGGGGAGTGAGTGGGGGAAAAAATAACTGAGCAGTGTACTAGAAGCCATGTAGACCAGGAACAGAATCCCTGATAATTAGTGATAAGTAGCGGTTGCCTTCCTTTTCAGTGCATTAGTTGGATAAATATTTTGGTGCCTTCCCCTGTTTCCTTCGTGCTGTCTACCTTATTTAGTGAAATGCAGAGAGATAATAGAATTGGGTAGCTCCTGCGCTTCAGTGAGCTTTCTCAATACAGGCCAGTGCAGATTAGGGTCATGTTAGATTGTCATTCCACTTCACGCGAGTGGCTCCTTCCCTGAAGGGAATCTTTAAAATGAAAATACCTGCTCCTTGTGCACTTGGAGCAATGAGAAACTGACACAGCCCCAGAATGGGGCTTGATCTCATAGCTTGTGACACGGCCACTCTAAGAAAAAGAAATGCCCGTTTCCAGCAGATAAGCATGTTTCTTCATGAGCCGTATTTCTCCCCAGTTTTGCAAGCCTGCCTATGCGTTTCGTTATGTGCATGCAGTGTAGTTGTAGTTGTGTCTGTCTCATTAGATACTTTTTACCAAGAAGTGAAACTGTATTCATGTTCGTAGCCTAAACTGAGTCATGGTGTTAGAGGTTCTGTTCTAGGTACCATTAGCAATTGTGCTGTATGATGCCAGGGCTGAGGTTGGTTCATGTTCTGTCTAGTGCTTTGGGGTGATGGGGTTACTACAATTCTCAATTGCACTTTTCCCAAAGGGAACATTTTACTTGTCTGAAACAGATTTGACAACGAAACTGGGTGGATTCAGAGGCTTCTGCCTGGTTACCCAGGCTGACAAGTCAATCTATGGTGCCTAGAGAAGATGCACGCGGTGTTCAATAACAGCCTAGTGAGGCTTGTGAGCTGTGACTTTGAAGGGGCCATTGTAAAGCTGCAGTAACTGAACATCTGTGGCGTTGATCAGAATGGATTCAAAATAAGGAGGTTGCTTAGAATACAAAGGTGCTCCTGAAAAGAGGAGAGGGAAAAATATTGTATGGAGTTTTCTGGATTTGGGGTCAAATTCTGCCTTCACATGCACATAAGTAGCTCCCACACGTGCACAGGAGAATTTGCCTCATTGCATTTAAATTTTGACTTTTGAGCCAAGAGGACACTTTGTCTTTTTAAGTTGCCTGGAAACCTACTGATTATTTTTGTGTTTAGTTTTTTTTCTTTATTGTTTCATCTGCTATGAAATGGATGCTTCCTGTCACTTAATGGCAAAGTACTTCTTTTGAAATGATACTTTGTTCCTCTTT